AAGTAGGTGCTTTAGACCACTGAGCCATCTCTCCAGCCCCAAGTAGGTGCTTTAGACCACTGAGCCATCTCACCAGCCACTATTATTATTATTTTAAATGAGAAACCCAATCATGTTTTGGGGCCCAGGCTATGTGATCAATTGGTGTAGGCCAAACCATAGGCCCCACAGTCATGAGGCAGATGTTGACCTGCTTCTGGAGTAGGGAAGTTTTTGCAGGAGGCTGCAGGCATCCTGGTGGGGTGGGACTTAATCCTGTAATCCTGTAGCCACAGCTCCTGAGGCAAGATAACATCTGCTGAGGACTGTTAACAAAGGGCAAGTACGCAGGTGTGGGGAAGGATCCTAACTTGTCTCCTTTATGATGTCAAACTTGTTCTTCCTCCTGCCTCTCCTTACTGCAGTCTCTGCTCCAGGAAATGGACACCCCCCCACCCCAAGAAAAGTAGGCAGCCCAAGAGGTCTTTGTCTCTGCCCAGTCTGAGGCACTGACCTCCCAGTCCCCCTGAACCTGCAGATTTCTTTGTCTTTATCCATCACTGGGACCACCCCACCCCCACCAGGGACCCAAAGGTCTGATCAGCCCCTGGTAATTGTGATTATAAAATGTGCTATTTTTAACTGTGCTGGGCATGGTGGCACATACCTGCGATTCCAGCATGTGGGAGGCTGAGGCAGGAGGATCATTGCAGAGACCAGCGTGGGCTACAAAATGAGCTCAAGGCCAGCCTGAACTTCATGGCGAGACCCTCTTAAAAAGCAAAAAAAAAAAAAAGTGTTCAGTCTGGATGTCTTTATGGTTATAATGTAATAATTCGTTTGAAGAAGACATCAAAAAGATAAATTTCAAGCAGCTGTTGGAATAATGGTAAAAGGGAAAAAGAGAGAACTGGGATAGAAGGGAAATAGGTACGGTGTAAAGAAGGGAAGGGGAAGGGTACAGGCCCGGGTATCTGGGACTCGCAAGCGACAGTGTCTTAGCTGAGTCGAGGCCGGGCTTGGTCGCTTTCAGGCCCCTCCCTCCCATCCCATGCCGTGGGTCAGAATCCTGCATACTTTCCAAGGTCCAGATTGCTGCTTCCGAGAAGGCCACTCCATCCCCCTACGTGCATGCTCAGCCCTGACCAGCTTGAATTAATGTTTAGCTGAAGTGTCTGCCCCGGATGAGCGTGAATTCCTTGAAGGAGGGTCCGTAACCTCCAGTGTGCTGGACAGAGTTGGTGGCAATCACGGGGACCAGGCCTCTTGGAGCCACGCTGGTAACCTGCTTGTCCTGTTTCCTTGTAGGGCAGGCTGGCTGCTCTGACACCATGGGGAGCTGCTGCGGCTGCCTGAACAGAGACACTGTCCCAGACAACCACCCCACCAAGTTCAAGGTACCCAGAGCCTTCTCCCTTGCCTTCTTGGTAGCTTTCTGGGCACAGCCCCAAGCCCTCAAGTGCCACAGCTTCTCTGGGGACAGTGACATGACAGGCTGAGGTCAGGGTTGGGAGAGTAGCCTGGGCAAAAAATGCTCAAACCTCTTCACTTGGGACTCTGTGTTCCATTTGCTGAGGGAAGCCAAGGCTGGACCTGCCCCATAGGGGGCGCTGCATGTCCACACAGGCACCTTGAGGTGAGAGCGTGCTCAGGAACTCACCCCTGTGGGAAGTGGCTGCGGTATACTTTGGTTTTGTCTTAGGAGCAACTTTACCCAGGGCTTACAATTTTGATTTGTTTTGGAAAAGAAAGGCTACTGGGCATTGAACCCAAGGCCTTTGCACTGAGCTATATCCCAGCCTGCTTTGATTTTTTAAAAATTTTTGAACAGGCTGTTACTAAATAGCTAACCAGGTTCTTGATTCAGCTTCCTCAGGCATGTGCCACCATGCCCAGCTTATTTTTTTTTTTTTTTTTTTTTTTTTAAGTTTTGAGACAAGGTCTTGCTATATCACTAAACTACAGGGCCAGGCTGGAACTTATGATCCTCCTGCCTCAGCCTCCTGGTGTGGTAGGATTACACCAAGCCTAGCACAATTGTGAATTTATAGTTGATCCCCTTCCTTGGTAACATCTCGGATATGTCCTGGGATAGCAAGCCACAGGCTGTCACAGAGCCCCTACCATTGGTCATCTGATGACCTGGCTTTAGAGGTCAACTACCTGCTATGTCCTGGTGATGCAACTCTTGCTCCAGAGGCAGATTGGCTGAGAACTCGGGTAGGCCTGGGCGGGCACGTGAGAGTGTCAGCCTCGCTCTGGCCCAGCCCTGCATGGACCTGCCTTTGGGGGGCTCGGGTCTCACTGGTGACCCTTGTCTCCCCAGGTGACGAATGTGGACGACGAGGGGGTGGAGCTGGGTGAGGGGGTGATGGAGCTGACCCAAAGCGAGCTGGTGCTGCATTTGCAGCGGCGCGAGGCCGTGCGCTGGCCCTACCTGTGCCTGCGGCGCTATGGCTATGACTCCAACCTCTTCTCCTTTGAGAGCGGCCGCCGCTGCCAGACCGGCCAGGGTGAGTGCTCTAGCTGGGCCAGGCCGGGAGGTACAGCGCAGATGCAGGAGCTAGCTGGTGGGCTGGGAAGCTTGTGGTCGTGGCCTCAGCAGTGGGCTCAGCACTCAGCCCAGCCCTCGACTTGGCAGGTGTCGCCCAGTGTGGGGCAGGGGCTTGGCCCAAGGCACACAACCTGTTACTGCAGGACTCTGTGAACTCCCAGGCCACAGCTCTTTGTCCCTGCACTCACAGGGACTCCAGCTGGGCCTCTGTGTTGAGCAGCCCAGTAGGACTAAGTCACTGTCCTCAGCCAGGCCTTGCCACAGCAGCACAGAACTCTCGCCTTGCTGGTCCAGCTTCAAAGGGCCTTATTGCCCCCAGTGGGGACACACTTTCCTGAACGTCCATGTCCTGTGCTCAGAGCCTGTGGATAAAGAGAGGAACCAGGCATCCCAGGGATGCAGGCTCAGTGGAGTGAGATGGGGGAGGCAGGATGCCTGGGTCTGTGCGGGGCAGGTGAGCCCTCAGGAGCTCACCTTTGCCCATGACTGGGAGTCCAGCCCACGGAGTGCCCTCCTTCTCTCCTTGGGGCCTCAGAAGAGGGGGGGGCTGTTCCATGGCTCAGGGCTCCAGCTGCTGCAGCTCTGGCCCTCACTGTGAGGATCTAGGCATAACCCTGTAGAGGGCGTCCTGCCCCAGCAGGTGCCCACTGCAGGCAGGGCCCAGGACTGCAGGAGGACAAGCTACAAAACAGCCCTGGAGGTCACATCGCCCTCTCCTGAACAGAGGCAGTAATGCTGACTGAACAGGTGGAGCAGAGGACCCCTCGTCCCGAGGGAAGTTTCACGTGCGCCTGGCTCCCCAGGCCTTGGTACAGGCTTCTTCCCGAATTGTGTCTGCTGGGTCTCTCTGTCTCTTGGCACAGCAGTGTTTCTGCTTCCACTCTGTCCTTCCCATCCCGCTCCTGAAAACTACAGCTACCTCTACCGTATGTGACAGCGTCACTTAATAACGTCATTGTTGCCCAGTCTGCAGCCTGTGCTGTCTCAGTTGTGGGTCCGTGCAGACATGTCCTTCCCAGGTGGCCTCCCCAAGTCCCAGGCTCCACCATGGCAACACTGCAGGTGGCCCCGTGCCAGGGACAGCTTAGGATCCTGAGTCCAGTGTGATCCAGCCCAGTCCTGCCTCTCCCAGGACATTGAGCAGCCAAGCTGGAGGTGGAAAGGCTAAGAAGCCGAGTGTACCCAGACCCTTGCTGCCCTGCCAGATTGGCCCTCGGCTGTGCCTGTCCTTGCTGCTGCCTGCCCCTGAGCTCACGCTGCAGGAAGCCTTCATTCTGTGGCCAGGCGTTGGGTTGGGTATTCAGTGGCAGCTGTGAATAGCGCAGATGTTCCTGCTGTGGCCACACTGCTGGGCAGATGCACTGGGCTAAGGACTGGGGACTGTGGGTTTGTTTTTCTGGGGACCAGTGGTGGCCAACAGGGAAAGATATGGATGGCCCGTGCGGTGTCACAGTCACTCAGCTCACACCGTCAGTGTCTATGACGATGTCATGAACATACACAAGGGATTCAGCTACAGGGCTGACTTGGGCTGGGGTAGTAGACTCAGTGCATCAAACTAGCGTACCACTCAGGCAGAGCCCTTGCCTACCATGTGCAAGGACCTGGGGTCCACCCCCAGCACCCCGAAAAACACCAGTGAGTGTGGCTGTGAGGACAGCCTTTAGGCCCTGGCACTGCGATTACTCGGGCATTCTGGAGTATCTCGGAGGCTGTGAGGGCGTGGAGGCCCGAGCTGTGGCTCGGCAGCCTCTGTGGCAGGCGCGCACGCACCTGTCTAGCTCCTGGCCGTCTCCATGGCCATTGTGGCCCTGCCAGGCACCCATCTCCTCCTCTCCTTATCCAGGGATCTTTGCATTCAAGTGCTCCAGGGCAGAGGAAATCTTCAGCCTCCTTCAGGATCTGATGCAGTGCAACAGCATCAACGTGACGGAAGAGCCAGTCATTGTCACCCACAGCAGCCACCCCGCCGAGCTCGACCTCCCTCGAACCCCTCAGCAGCCCAATGGTGAGGCACCCCCATCCTGGGTACCCAGTGAGAGTTCAGGCACAGTCCTGGAGCACAGATGAATGGGGAGGCTGGTGCTGGGAGCCAGCCTTCTGGGACGTTTGTTCAGCCAGTCGTCCATCATTAGAGACACCCCAGAGGGTGGCTGGGCCAGTCAGGTGATTTGGCTGAGGCTGTGGCATCCTGGACCTTGGATCAACTCATGGTTGGGAACAGGCAGGAAGATGTTGGGTTTCCATGGAAACGGCAGTCTGGAGCTTCCTGACTCCTTCCTTGGATCACACACACCTCCCCTAGAGCCAGCTCTGGTGTCTCTGGCCAAGGCTGTGCCACAGGGAGCCAAAGCTGCTGGCTATATGCTGCCACCACTCCATGCTCTCTGGGCTGGCCCATCAGGGACAGAGGGAGAACCACGGTGCCCCCTTTGGAGGAGCTTCCTGGGGCTCACTGGCTGTGCAGGATGAGCAGGGTGCTGTGGGTGGCTCAGGTAAGGGACTCCTGAAGGAAGTTGGTGGGGTGGCAGCTCAGGTGAGCTCAGAGGGCAGGGGCTCAGCACTGCACGTCCCCTCCTGGTGTAGGGGTCCTGGTTGCCAGCTGCTGTCAGGTGGTTTAAACACCTGGCCTGTCTCCTGCCCAGCTGTAGGATACACTGTCTCCAGCTTCTCCAATGGCTTCCCCAGCTGCCCGGGAGAGGGCGCACGATTCTCTGCTCCCCGGCGGCCATCTTCGAGCAGCCTTCGACACGCCTCACTCGGGGAGGAGTCCACAAATGCCCTCATTGCCCCCGATGAACAGGTGAGCAGCAGCTGGCCATGCCAGTGTCTGGGTGGGGGCGGGGTTTGGGAACATGGCCATGTCCTACCAGGAAGGTTCATGGGAAGGGGAAGAAAAGGAAGAAAGGCCATGTTCCAGGAAGATCCAGAGGCCTGGGAAGAGGGGAAGCTGTGGCGTTTCCCCCTGAGCCTCTGCCCTCCTGTTGTCCATCCTGCCCTTCCTTCCTCCGGGCCTGCTGCGCGCGTGGACCATCCTGCAGTCACACACCTATGTCAACACTCCAGCCGGCGAGGTTGACCACCGCAGGAGCCGGCACTGCCTGCAGCCACTGCCCGAGGGGCGGACGCCCTTCCCCTCACAGGCCCGGGAGCCCAGCCCGAGGGACCCGCAGGTCTTCCTGCAGCCAGGCCAGGTGAAGTTCGTGCTGGGACCCACGCCTGCCCGGCGGCATGTGCTCAAGTGCCAGAGCCTCTGCCCCAGCCTGCAGGATGCGCCCCACCACAACAACAACAACGAAGGGCCCTCGGAGTGCCCCGAGCAGCCCAAGTGCACCTATGAGAATGTGGGCGGCGGGCTGCGGCGAGGTCCTGGCTGGAGACTGAGCCCGGAAGAGCCAGGCTGGGGCGGCCTGGCCCACCGCCGCGCCGCACTGCTGCACTATGAGAACCTGCCCCCGCTGCCCCCTGTGTGGGAGAGCCACAGCCAGCTGCAAGCTGGGGAGCCTGGGGACGATGGGGACTCACGGGATGGGCTCACACCCTCCTCTAATGGCTTCCCAGAGGGGGAGGAGGATGAGACCCCACTGCAGAAGCCCCCCAGCTCTCGGGCCACTGGCCGCAGCCACAGTGGCTTTCCCGTGCCCTTGACCCGCCGCCGCGGCTCCCCAAGGATCTTCAGCTTCGACTTCCGCCGCCCAGGCCCTGAGCCCCCGCGGCAGCTCAATTACATCCAGGTGGAACTCAAGGGCTGGGGTGGGGAGCCGCCCAAGGGGGCCCAGACCCCTTCCACACCCAGGGCCACAGGGCCCAGCTCGGACTCGTATGCTGTGATTGACCTTAAGAAGACTGCGGCCATGTCCAGCCTGCAGCGGGCACTGCCCCGAGACGATGGCACCGCCAGGAAGACACGGCACAACAGCACCGACCTGCCTCTCTAGGTCCCTCCGTCACCACCTCCAGGGCTGAAGGCACCGAGGCAAACGGGAGCTTCCCCACGCTGCTGGTGTTCTGCCCGTGCCACCCGAGGCTCCTGGTCCCCAAGCTGGGGAGGGGAGGGTGGCCAGCTGAGGAGGAGGCCTCGATGCCAACTGTGAAGGGTCCTTGTGATTACGTTTCTCGCCGTCCCCTTACGTCCATTTGTCTTGTCAGCTGTCTTGTCTGTCCATCCATTTGTGTGTGCTTTTTTGGTTGGAATTTTGAAACATTTTGTACCTGTTGATTTTATTTATCAGTTTATTTTTCTATTTATTGTTTTAAATGTAATTTAACATATTTATTATTAATATAATTATTTTTAAATTCTGGCCCAGTGAGTGGAGTCATCTTGTCTCCTCAGGGAGAGCGTGGGAGCCGGGGGTGGCTGTGGCTTTTGTGCCAAGTCTGACCCTTGCTTCCTCCAAGGAGCCCTGGTCCAGAATGTAGCTTGTTGCAGTAAAGTGACGGGATGGCTGCAGTCCCTGGTTCAGAGAGCACTTGTGAGGGGCACTGCCCCAGGACAGGGCTGGTCCTGTGAGGCTCAGCGGCCGGGGCCATGTCTGGAGCCGGGCTGATCTTCCTGCTTAGCAAGTAGCAGGAGCCACTGTGCTCTCAGACCCTGGCGCTGAGGTGGGGTGTCCTTGGCCAGCCCAGCATAGTGGAGTCTTGAACATGAAACGGGACTTGAGGGAATGCAGTGTAAAGTGACACTCGTGTCACCTAGTGCTGGCGTTGCAAAGCACAGCTTTTCCAGAGAACAGCAGGTGGGGCCCCGGGTCTGATGGTGACCAGCGCCCCACACCCTGCCTAGTGCCCTTCCGTAGCAGGGGCCCCAGCTCGCTCCTCAGCTGCTCTTGCTGCTTTCACGCCAGTCTGCCTGACCTCCAAGGTGCCATTGCCATCAATCCTCAAGGTTGATGAGGGAGAGTTTAGTGTCTGATGACCACTGGGCCCAGGAAAGGAGTGAGGCCAGGGCTCGTCCTTGACTTGCGACAGGCCTTGTCTCTGGGCCCTGTTTGTGCCCATATCCTGCCGCATGTCCTGTTTCTCCCCAAGACAGCAACCAGGGCAGGGCCATCACCGGGTTGATTTCACACACCCCATCCATCCATCCATCCATCCATCCATGTGTGGGGGTGGCTGTCTCCTATTGTCAGAAGGCTGGTCATAGCAGAACTGAGAGGCCTCAGTTAAGCCCAGAAGGTGGCCCTTCTCGCTGTTCCTTTGCTCTGCCCCCACAGCAGGACTTGCAGTGCCTGTCTTGTGTCCTGGAAGTCAGGCACTGGGGGCCCGCTCAGCTTCCTGGTCCTCTGACACACCTGTTTGTGCTTGTGGCCTGCATGGTCCCAGCACACAGGCAGGTACGGTCAGGACCAGGCTCCTCCTTGCTGAGCGACAAGTAATGGCCACAGCCAGCCTGGGGCTGGCAGAAGTCGGAGACAGGTACTAGCCGATGCCCCACTCTTGCTGTCATAAGCATGTGTTTCCCCTGTGGGCCTAGGTCTCATGGTGAGCAGGACACAGACTCGCAGAGGCTCTTCTGGTTGTCCTCCCTCAGGGCTCAAGCCTCAGGCTTCCCAAGTCACCACCCTCACTCTGGGCCACAGAGCTAGTTCTGATTCCCAGGACCCCCACACCAAGTTGTCACGGCTATGGTCAGCAGCCAAACTTCTGTCCCCTCCCCTGGCCCAGTGAGATCCCCAGCAGGAATTTTCTCCCTCAGGAAGGGCAGGGGAGAGCAGACAGCTTTCCTGGCGGGAAGGGGCGGATGGGTGAGGTACCCAGGGGAGCAACCGCAGCGGGCCTGCCCTGCTGAGGTGTGACGCACAGAGGGAACTGGCCACCAACATCAGCGTGTTTGCCCAGCACTCCCTGCTCCTCATTAGAACAGGGCCCTGCCCACACCCCAGGCGGCGCTTGGGAAAGGACAGGCCAGGCATCCTGTCTGGAGTGACCTGTCTGCCTCCCAAGCCCACTCCTGTGTAACTACAGCACTTTGCAGGATGTGAACACAGGCGGCTTTTCACAGAGGTGTAGACCATTTATCTGCACTGGGCCTCACTGGGCAGGATCGTTATCATCCCTGCACAGAAGAGGAAGCAGGCCAGGAGGGGAAGCAGCCGGTGGCAGCCGGGAGGGAACGAGCAGCTTATGCTGGGGCTGGGTGCCAGGCCTGTCTGCCCACCCCAGCAGCTCCCGGCCTGGCCGGTGGGCGCCTGGCTGGTGGGCACCTGGCCTGTGGGGCTGTGGAGTTTGCAGGGCTCCCTCTACCCAAGGGGGCCACATTCCAGTGCATCCCCCACAGAAATCCTGAATTCCAAGCTGCTAACTCTGGGGGTGGCCCTGGTCCCAGCCTGCCTGCCACCTACCTGTCCTGCCTCTGCAGTTTATGGCCTTAGAAGCACTGGCTCTGCAGCCCACTCTGGGAGGGGCTGGCTGGCTGAAGAAGGAGGCCTGGACTGGCCATCCTAGTCCCCTCCTGTCCTGTCCCTTTCTGCTTCCCAGGTCGGGTCGGATCAGCTCTCTTGAGTCCTTAGTTCACAGGTTGCTCCATCAGGCGTCTCAAGCAGAGTGCTTCTCTCCTCAGAGGCAGACAGGCCAATGACAAGAGTCCCCATGTCTCTAGCGCAACTGGAGCTGTGTGGAGTGACAGAGGCCAGGAGGGACAGCTAGGTCCTGTCAGTCAGCAGAGCCAGAGCCAACTCAGGAATCTCTACAGCAGCTCCTGGAGCAGCTGATCCAGTCCGCTTGCACACTGTGCTGCCAGGCTGGGGAGCTCACTACCCGAGAGACCCTTCCTCCACTTGGGTCTGAGAAACCCCCCATGCTTCTTCCTCTGGGGCCCAGCATGGCGGTGGTCCAGAACCACTGGGCACCTCACAGCCACACAACCACTGTGGCCCACACGGGGTGTTCACAGTGTCACCCCAGGCATGGGTTGGGAAGGTCCAGCCCAGATGCCCTCCCAGGGAGCAGGGCTGCCCGGGTAAGTACTCGGGAAGGGCAACTGCTCTTCACACCTGTGCCAGGCTCGTTGCCCCAGCATCCTGGGGACAGCGCCTGGGCCTGTCTGACCCTCAGCTCTCTCCAGCCCGTGCCCGCCTTGTTCTGGACCTTGTGCCTCTCTTAAACAGTCCAAGTGAGTGTTTACTTCACAGCCCTCTTGCTCTTGGGGCCTTAAACCTGCCCTGAAATGACAGGATCTGTACACCCTCAGCTTGCCTGCTCACCCCCCACAATGCTGCAGTCCGTGGCATGGTGTGTGTATGTGTGTGTGTATGCATTTAGCAACAGGGCCTGGCTAAGTTGTCCAGGTTGGGCTTGACCTTGTGAGCCTCCTGCCTCAGCCTCCCAAAATTCTGGGATTCCCCACATCCAGCTCGTTTGGCTTGTTAAATTAAAATCTGAATGGTCCATGCATCCCAACAACAGTTCTTCTTGGTGCCCTGGGTCTGTCTTGACTTCAGAAGCCAGGTGAGGGGAGGATGGGGATGGGGACCAAGAGAAGGGGCCAGGAAGAAGATCCCCGCTACTGGAACAGTCATGGGCACAGATGCCACTTGGCACTTGGCCCAGTGTTCCCAGAAACTGCTCTCTGCGGGTGATGCGGTGGATACCCTCTAGGCCCTGTCACTGAGACACCCTCTCATGCCCAATAGGGGCCTGAGCCTGGATGTCCCTGTCCTCCCTCTGCCCCCGGGTAAGGGCTCAGGTCCCTCGGCCTCCTCCCGGCCACTGCTTCTGCTCCTACTCCAGCCTGGTCTGAATCCCCAGGGCTGGGAGGCCTGATAGAGTGCGGCGAGCCGCGCCTGGGAAAGGGGCAGAAGGCCACCAAATCTGCCTCCTGCTGACCATGCTTGGGGTGGGAGTGGGGCGGTGGCACTGGGGGCGGCAGAAGCACCAGGTGTTCTGGAGGCACCTTGTCTCCCCACGCCCTGGGCTGTATCAGTGCTGTGATACCCAGTAGGGTGGGGAGGGGCAGTGTACACAGCGATGGGGGCCTCGGTCCCCAGCCAATGCGGGACAGTGGTTCCAGGTACAAGGTCTGGTGGCATAGGCGGATCCTGACCAAACCTCACACCCAGGGCTGTCAGCTCCCAGCAGCAGGATTATGGGATGTGAGCTTCTCTCATTTGATGCCAGGTGATACACGGGCGGATGGCTCAGACTCTCTAACCTGGTTTCATCTTCTGTCTGTTAAGGAGACTGAGAGTATTTACCCCATCATTCAGTTATGAATTAAATAAAACTGCTGTAGATAGGGGCCAGGGAGATGGCTCAGTAGAATAAGCACTTGCCTGTCAAGC